TTTTTTTTTTTTTTTTTTTTTTTTTTTTTTTATAATCTATATATTAAAAATTATGGTATAAACTTTTAATTAGGTGTCTAACAAGTCCTTATCTTTACGTTGGTAGTTCTGTTTTTTTTTTTTTTTTCTCATAACACTTGCCTGAAATTGTAGTTTAAAAAAAGCCAACCTGAAATCAACTAAAGTTTGATAATTTAGATTTAGAAATGATAACTAGTCAAACACACCATTTTTAAATTTCAAAGATCAATAGAATTTGTTGAGAACTTTTAGAAGTGTGGAGTCTAAATACGCATTTGAGTTGAGTGTCAATGAGTTGAATGATTTGTGATATAATTGAATCAAACATTTGGTTGAATTTCGAATAGTTGGGTATGAATGAATTATGATATAATTGCCTCGACGATTGGGTTGAATGTCGATGAGTTGGGTATGAATGAATTATGATATAATTGACTCGACATCTTATTGATTAAGTATGTCGATGAGTTGGGTATGAATGAATTGCTATATAATTTTCTAACTGGGCGATTGATATTCATCGCAGATCGTGAACGGAGACGGTGTGCAAGAAGCAGCAAGGGAGACAGACGGGTACTTCATAAAGAGTGGGATCGTGACAGTAATCAAGGATGCTTTGATTCCCAGTGGCACTGTTATCTAAAGAGAGAACAGAACAGAACAGAGCAGACATGTTTTCCATTGAACTGGTGCCTCTCTCTCTCTCTATCTCTCCCTCAGTTTTGGTTACCGTTCCATTTGGTAGTAAATGCATAGTTTAGGGAAGAGAATCCCCACTCCACAGTCCCAACCATTAGGCACTGTTCTACTTTTAACTTATGCTGTAAATGTTCCTCCCCTCTTCTTCTGCACTACATCATTTCATTACCTTCTTTCTCTCCATTTCCCCCCATTGTACCCCATTTCCTTCAAAATAATCACCTATTAAGAACAATAACAGCTCGCATTTAATAAGTAAATACATCTATAAGCGTTTTAACCTAAGTGTAATTTTATAATAGATAATTAGAAATAAAAAAATAAAATGAAATTTAGAGACTTATTAAATACTTTGAAAAATTACGGAGTCTAAATAGATAAGATGAATGTGGCATTTAGCAAATTATTCCATAATTTACAATGATATGATATTGTATCAACAATGCTAACAATCTCGAGATAACACAAACTAAGAAGTCTATGAGTATATAAATAAAAAGTAATTTGTTACAAAACTTATGGAAACTAAACATCTATCATCAAACAAACGTCAAAACAACTCCCACTTACTTTTCGCCCACAAGAGAGTTGGCATCGATGGCCCTGCGTAATCAAACAAAACCAACCTAAAAAATCAATCTAGACAAATGTGGTATTAAGAACTTTACAAAAGTTTGAAATGACTTTTTAAATTTTTATAAAAAAGGTCGTTCTATACTAACACTAAGAGTACACAAAACTAATTGATGAAGAGATTATGTTTCATTTTATTCTCGACTTTTGAAATATTTACTTCGGTTCTTGCACTTTTAACTTTTGTCTATTTTAATCTTACTTTTGAAACGCATATTAGACGTTTTTATAAGTGCAAGAACCGAAGTAATGGATGTAGCACATATAAGAATAGTTTGCAACCCGCTGCTTACAAAGAGGACATGACCCAAAAGAAAAATTGAAACATAATAACACATCCATTAACTTGCTATAGACATTATAGAAGTTACCTTTTCATAAGACTATTTGGCTAGAATGTTTCTCCATTTATCTTTTAGGTCCACTGGGGTACGAGTGTTATCGAATACGTGATGACCGAATTCCAAAATTTTCTTCCAAGGAACATTTTTACTGTCTGTAGAAGAGAATCTATGAACTCCTTCCTGAAAAAAGTAGTTTTAGTTAGCATAAGGAAGAAACAAATAATGATTGGAAACAAAAAATTAGTATTTGGTCATTTCTTCTCATGACCAATATGAGCTACTTTCATATCCTTTGACCGTAGTAGGATTCAAAAATGAGACAAGATGCATAATCAAGGGCATCTTCGATGCAGATTCGGAAGAGAGTTCGTAGATATTAGTAAACGACACGAATGAATTGAGAGAACGGAGCAATATGAACTTGAAAATTCTTTTAATGCAAGAGAAATCGTCAGAAAACTTTTCTACATGGTAGATCATGTCAACCAGCTTTGCTAACATTCAGATGAGAACTCAGTTTTCCATTCTAAGAATCATGCCAGGTGCGTTCAATTATTTCTCTTCCCCTTCTGCATGATCTAATCATTTTGGGGCTGAGATTTAATAATAAAAACGAGAACAGCTGGATCACACATAGGAACAGATATCACTAGTCTGAAAGATGAAATCTAACGTGAGATCCCACGTCGGTTAGAGAGGAGAACGAAACACCCTTTAAAGGGTGTGGAAACATCTCCCTACATCTCCCTAGCAGATACGTTTTAAAAACCTTGAGAGGAAGTCCAAAGAGGACAATATCTGCTAGAGGTGGGCCTAGGCCGTTACAAATGGTATTAGAGCCAGACACCGGATGATGTGTTAGCGAGTAGGCTGTTCCCCAAAGGGGTAGACACGAGGCGGTGTGCCAGTAAGGACACTGGGCCCTGAAGGGAGGTGGATTTGGTGGGGGTCCCACATCGATTGGAGAAAGGAACGAGTGCTAACGAAGACACTGAACCTGAAGGGGGGTGGATTGTGAGATCCCACATCGGTTGGAGAGGAGAACGAACACCCTTTATAAGGGTGTGGAAACCTCTCCTTAGCAAACGTGTTTTAAAAACCTTGAGGGGATGTCCGAGAGGGAAAGCCCAAAGAGGACAATAACTGCTAGCGTTGGGCATGGGTCGTTGCATCTAATAACAATTAAAGATGCTAAAAGTCCAAAACATCTTAATTGATCAACTGATGAATTGGTACCTTCAACATTTCCTCCTCTTCAGTGGACCAACGCATTCTCTTACGCTTCCCGCCATGAAAATCAAAGCTTTTGCTGCAAATCAGATAATGATAGTTACTAGTTAGTTGTAATTACTTTTATAATCAGAAACTGCTTTTGCAGCCTAGAAAGAGACTTACAATTGATTACGAGAGGCTGGTTGCAGCCTTAAATTTCTGGATGCAGAAACTTTCTCAATTTTGGTAGCATGATCTTTCCCAGGATTTGAAGTTTGTAAACGCAATGACTTTCTCGAAGAATTAAATTTCTGTCGGTCTGATCTTCTATTAGCTTTGATTTTAAAGCGCTTTTTCTTCACGATCGTTTCATCCTTCAAATCGTTATTTCCAGATGCAAGACCGATATCTTCAACCATCCCTTCGTTGTCGGGATGGATTTGTTCTCCACCATCATCTTTGTCTTGTTCTTGAGGTTCTTGAGCAGTCTCCCCATCATGATATGCACTAGTAGTCGCTGGTTGACCTCGATCCTTCGCAATTTCATCATCCTGAAGGTTATCGGTTGACATTAAGTTTTCTTCGTCCATCATTTCCCCATCTTCATCTTCTAAACTTTCTAACTGATGTGTTCCTAATGTGTCAGCCTCACGAGTTTCCTCTTCATTCATTGAATCCTCACACGGCTGAACTTCAGGAGTTGAATAAATGCTCTTCTTGCTAATATTAGACACAATAGGACCATCATGATTTTCGCCGATAACCCCCACCATCGACGTTGCTTGAATATCTCTTGCTATTCTCGCATGGTTTTCCCTTTCTTTACTCTGATTTTGCTCGATCTGCGTATCCTGATCTCGTGAGCTATCATTGCCCCAATGACTTCCATGACTAGGCTGGTTCGCATCCACTCCTCGAGTTGAGACATTAGATGCTTTCTTCTTACCTGCTTCTCCTATCTGCAGCAAATTGCCACCACCAACCATCCTGGTATCAACAAAATTCGACAACGCTTTCTTTGCCACCATAGCATTTCTCCTCGATTCGTTTACACGAACCAAAGCTCTTTTATATGAACAATAAGGACAATAGAAGCGCCCTTCTTCATCGAACGAAGGTTCACATGACATACAGAGCTCATGAAGAGCAATTGGACATCCAATTTCAGTACAAACCAATAGATCACCACTCTTGTCGCATCTAATACAAGTGTCTTTCTGAAAGCAATCTATATTATCCAACACATCATTAGTTTCATTCCTTGATGCCTCATGAACAGTGTTGTCTTCTGCATTCAGCACATCCTTACAAGATGCAAATCCATCATTCGGAGTGTTGCCTTCTGCATTCGGCGCATCCTGACCAGATACAAATTCATCGTTTTTTCAGCAAACATTCTCTTCCGTTTCTTCGAATTTGTATTAGGAAAAATTAAGTTAACACTAAAGATTAGGTCTATCAAACATTTGCTCAGCAAAATCCAAGCGAGTAACAAACGACGTCCTCGTGGATCACAGTTCAGTTTCAGTCGCGAAGAGCAACGGAACAATGAAACGATTTGCTTTGCGAGAAGAAAAAGAAAACGGCTCCATTGCTAAAAAGAAAGAGAAATGAATACGAACCTGGTCAGAGAAGGAGGGAGACGTCATAGGTGGCGGATTAGAAGCGGCGGAACGCCGGGAAAGCCTGGACTTCCCGCCACGGCGACTCTTGGTCCTCACCGTCTTCCGGCACATTTACGAACCCTAATCTTTCAGAATCTTCAGTGCTCAATCAACACAGCGAATGAGAACGACCCAATTTCTTCCTCAATTCGAGATGAAGAACCATTCCGTTTTCCCTCGAAAAATTGTTCTTTACGCAGACAATGAAGATGACAATCTCGATTCGAAACCATTTTAATTTTGTACTAAAAATACCATTTTTATTTCGAACGCAAAATTTGGTTAACAAATCTACTTATCCACTTCGTCTAATAAATCGTTGGAACAATTTTAATAATTATTTTTTTTTATAAAAAAACATTAATGTGTTAATGAACGCAAAAGGTCAATTTTGGTCGAGATTAATTTTAAAAAAAAAAATTAACATTTTTTAATTGTTTATTTATTTTCTCGAATAAATATTTGAATTATCAATTAAATTATTTATATTTATATTGTTCAAACATAGATTTAGGTCCACTCAATCATTTATAACTCAAATTTATCCTATTTTATCTTAAAATTATTATTAAAATTAAAAATATTTCTTTCCTAATTAATTAGTGATGTGATGCATCTAACCCAAATTAATAATATTTTAATTATTAAAATATAATTTTTAATAATTAAAACAATAATATAATAATTTACCGAAATAAAATATTTGTTTGGATTATGAATTCGATTGGGTTCTTCACGTCATCTCGTTCTTCCCTTGAATCTTCCCGCGCCTGGATCAAGTCTGAATCTCTCAGTCTCGACTTCTAATTTGTGGTTAATTTGTTTACATTTTTTATATCTTTGAGCGGAGGCGTTATCAATTCTTTTATGTGGTGGGATGTTGATCATCAGATATGGATACTGCGTTCGATCAGTTTATATCACATTGTGAAATTTGGATTCATAATTGGATTTTATTTTCGTTCTTCCTTATTTGTATGCAGTTATTCTCATGGCTTCGAGTGTTAACAAGGAGCTTGTGTCTGGTAAGCAGCTAAGTTATGGTGTCGCGGTGTGCGATGACTATATATTGTTTGTTTATTTAGTTCTTGTAGTGTTCATTAAGCAATCGAATATGAAATTTGGTCGTGTCTACGCTACAATTCATGTTCATATATTGAAGTTCATGGCTTGTTTACTCAACTACTACCGCTTCAATTTGATTCATAAATCATTCGATCTTTACGTTTTTCAGTACTTAGTGGATTCGGGGTTTGGGTAAGGGACAAGATGGGGGGTTGGTAGTGAAACATGGTGACGGAAGGGACAAATTCTAGTAATTGATTTGAATTGGGGATACTGTAATGGATTTATTGCGGTCTCCAGAAAGTTCATATGATTATATATACAAGATGAGGTTGAAGAAGTTGGTCTCGAGACCAGAATTCTATTATCCACATATCTTGTGGGCATCTGCTGTATCAGAATTATTGTCGCACTTCGGTTCAAAACTTCGAGGGAGCATAACTGGGGCCTAGCCTCATCTTCACCTGAGAAAGTTCGCTCATTTGAAGTTTGTCTAGTTGTTAGGTACTCCTTGACCATCTGGGTAGCATTTGATTGGCCTCGTAACAGTAAGATCAGCTCTAAAACTGATATGAACTAAGATATATCAATCATATAATATACTTCAATGAAGATGTGAAAAAAATATTGTGAAATTTATCAAAAATTATTTCAATTCATGCCACATTGAAGAAGAATAAAGTTTCATGTTATAAATTTTGGGTGGATTACAATTTATAGTAATTTAGAGTTACTGTATTTCATTAATGTATTTAAGACTTTTTATTTACATTAGGTTATAATTACATCATGGTTAATTATGACCATTAAGTATGAACGTTACAACTCGAATGTCTTTAATAGTTTCATTTTGAGGCTGTATAAGCCATATATGTTGTATTTGTAAGTAGACTTGGAAAATACAAAAAAAGAACATTTGTGCTTTTTCTTTAGCCAATGGCTGAGTTTTTTTTTGCAATTCTATGTAGTTTAGGTTCCATGTAGAATCATTTAAACTCGACATGATCACTATTGCTTATAGAGTGATTCGAATCTCAAACAAGTGTTCTTGCGTTGAGATATTTGATCAACAAGAATCATTAAAGGTAGACATGATCGATCTTGTTTGTGGAGTGATTCGAATCTCAAACAATGCACTCACCTGTTTTTCCACCCCCTCGTCTTTGTGCAGTACTCTCACAAACATGGATGGAAAGACTTCGATCGATATTGCTAAGCTAAACAACCAGAACGAGGTGCTGAAGTGGCTCGAAAAGGATGCCTTACTGTAACTAAAACATTTGTGCCTAAGTTACTGCATCTTCGCCAACGTGGTGCCTTGACGTTCGGGACAAAGTTATCGTCGGGACTCGTGTTGGGTTATTTTCGTGTCCATTGCTTTCACAATAATCTTGTAGTTTCAGCTGGTTACAAGTCAGGTATAATACCCAATTTGTACATTTGGTTTGGTTTCTCCTTTTACTAAATTCTTTATTTGTGTTATAGTTGATGATAAGGAGTTTTGCTGCCGTTCATCCTCCCAGTCGTTTAATTAGAGATATGTTAGTAGATATTGTCTTTTTTGGACTTTTCTTTTCGAGCTTCTTTTCAACGTTTTTAAAATGTGTTTGCTAGGGAGAGGTAACACCTTTATAAAGAATGTTTCGTTCTTCCTCCCAACCGATGTGGGATCTCATAATCCACCCTTTTTAGGATCTCGCTGGCACTTGTTCCGTTCTTCAGTTGATGTGTGACCCTCCAATCCACTTCCTTTGGGGTTTAGCATCTTTGTTGGCACACCGCCTTGTGTCCACCTCCCATTCAGGGTTCAGCCTCTTCGTTGGCACATAGTCCCGTGTCTAGTTAAGCCCACCGATAGTTGTCTTCCTTGCACTTTCCCTTTTAGGCTTCCCTTTTTAGTAACAAAAAGTCCGAAAAAAATATATTTGGTATTTATTTTCAAAACTAATTTCTAAAAATAAATTCTAAAATATATTTTAAAAAATGATAAATGGTCGTTTTCTTTGTTTTGCAACTAAAAGCCTTTGAGGATGTAAATAGAGATAATCTCAGGACAAGTGAAGAAAAAGATGAGAAGAGATTTCTCTCTATTAGCTAACTGAATCGAGATTCTCTGTGTCTCACTTCCCAACCTCTGTCCAAGTCTCCACCCCACCTCACTTTATATATATATGTATATGTATCTATTTTTCGGTCGAGCTTGAAAAAATTTAAAATTAAATTTATAAGATAACCTACTAAATATCCCGTAGAAATATTCTATTTAATTATTTTAAGTCAAAATTTAATATTTTTTTTAATAACATGAACGACAAAATTGCACATTTAAAGGCAGACGTAAAAAAAATAAAAAATCTAGTTGGAAGAAACAAAAGAGATTTTTCTTAGTTCTTCTTTGTCATGAACAAGAAAGCTAAAAAGGGTTATTCCATTGAAAGCAATAGAAAAAGGAAAAAGAACTAAAAGCCCAAAGCAGGGGAGGGCGGTGGGGACACTTTGCAATAGCCTTACATGGATGGATCATTATTGTTTGGCAACTCAGAAGATACCTCCAAATTTTCCCGGAAAATGAGAGAAACTCAGTATTGCACCGCTCTTGTTCATTGTTAGATAACGATAACTCATCGCAAGCTTCATGGGGTCTGGAATCTGCCAATGCCATACCATAATCCTACGGTCCTCTTTCACTTTCATGCGGTCTTCTCTGGAGCAGATATTTCTGTTCATCAATGAAAAAGTTGAACCGGACAAATTCCATATGGTGAGAAAATATCAAGACCCTTTGATTTTTGTAACGAAACTGCTTGTTTTATCCACTTTTTTCTTATGGGGTTTATCGATAGTGATGGAAAATCCATTGAAATTTCTGAAAAAATAGGTCTACCAGCATCGCAGCTAGCATTCATACATACCCAGAAAAGGAAAAACGTAGGGAGTGATGCTTTTTCTTAAGTTTTTATGCTGTTTTTCGTTCATATTAACTCTGAAACTTCTTCTTCCAACATTGTTCATTCGAGTGTGTAGTGCTGGTGTATCAGGAAAAATGATGTTTAGTAATAGAAAGAGATCACTGTTGCGCAAAATATCCCCATTGGAGCTTCTTCCTTGCAGGTGAGCATCTGTTTGAGTTTATCCTGTTCTGTTTATCTGTTTTTCATTAACATATTAAGAAGGTATTTACTTCTCATTCTTCCTTGATTTCAAATGGGTGTCTGAAGTTTTTGTGCTAGCTGATGATCCATGGTAGCAAAAGTTCTGTTTCTGCTATGTTCTTCATTTTCATTCTGATGGTTGTTTTGAAGTTTTGTGTTCTTGAGCTTGTCTAGAGGGCTCATTGGAAGAATTACCAGATTAGTTCTGCTCTAAGTCTCCATTTTTGGCTATACATACATTTTCAAAAAAAAACTGTTGAATTCTGTGATTATTTGTTGGTAAACCAATTGTTAGTTGAAGATAGTTGAGAGAGGCAATATCTTCGGTTATATGGCTGTAGCGATGTTATAAATGCTACTGCATTTTGTACGTGTGTGAGATCCCGCATTGGTTGGAGAGGGGAACGAAGCCTTTCTTATAAAGGTGTGGAAACTTTTTCCTAGTAGATGCGTTTTAAAATCGTGAGGCTGACGGCGATACGTAACGGGTAAAGGTGGACAATATCTGTTAGCGGTGGACATGGGCTGTTACAAATGGTATTAGAGCCAGACACTGGGCGGTGTGTCAGCGAGAACGCTGGGCTCCCAATGAGGTGGATTGTGAGATCCCACATTGGTTGGAGAGGGGAATGAAATATTTCTTGTAAGGGTGTGGAAACCTCTCCCTAGTAGACGCGTTTTATAATCGTGAGGCTGACGGCGATACGTAACGGGTAAACGCGGACAATATTTGCTAGCAGTGAGCTTGGGTTGTTACAAATGGTATCAGAGCCAGACACTGGGTTGTGTGCCAGCGAAGACGTTGGGCTCCCAAAGGGGGTGTATTGTGAGATTCCACATTGGTTGGAGAGGGGAACGAAACATTCCTTATAAAGGGTATGGAAACCTCTCCCTAGTAAACACATTTTAAAACCATAAGGCTGATGGTGATACGTAACGAGCCAAAGCGGACAATATCTGCCAGCGGTAGGCTTGGGCTGTTACAACATGTCCATATTGAATGGAATACAATGAGTATCCACCTTGCTTTTTCCCATTCTCTTTCTGCTTTTCCTTTGAGTACGATTCGACTTTCATACTTTCGCTTGTTTGATTCAACAGTATCTTCCGTACACGTGCAAGAGAGAAAGATCAGAAAATGGATGAGAAGAGTGAAACCAAAGAGCCATCAAGGTCTAATCTGTCATATCCTTCTCATCAAATCAGCCCTACAGAGAAGAGGACACCAATTGAAGTCTTTCAAGTGCCTGAAAGTTTAGGAGATGACCATTCCAAAGGAGAGAGAGATGCCACTCATGATCAGGTTGGGGAAAAATCAACCGTCACTTCCTTTTGTCCTGCTGCCAGCATGAAAGCATCTAAAAAGTGGATGGCATTTGAAGGTGAAAACTTAGATATAACAAAGACATACACAAAGAGCTTCAGTGGTAGCTTTGGGTCATCTTTTACTGAACTCTTGGAAACAACCATGACAAAAAAGACTGCAGAGAAGAATAAGATTGGCGATTTGTCGTCGTTGACGTATGTTATCTCAGATGCAACAAAACCGGATTGCCCCATCGTGTTTGCCAGTGATAGGTTCTTGGCTATGACTGGATATACATTGGAGGAGCTCATTGGAAGGAACTGGTAAGAAATGAATCAAGTATTGTTATGTGATAGATATCAAGTTTGTTATTTGATACCCTGTTTAGTTGAAACCAATGAAGATGAACTTTCCCTGAATAGAAAGAGGTATTTTCCTGAATTCTGAAAGCTAGAAGGAGTTTTTTTTTCCCCTTTTCATGTTGATGTTGTTCTATACAGCCGTTTTCTTCAAGGACCGGAGACGGATAAGAACGAAGTAGCAAAAATACGAGATGCAATTGGAAAGGGGAATAGCTACTGTGGCAAGCTCTTGAACTACAAGAAGAATGGTACTCCTTTCTGGAATCTTCTCACTGTTGGGCCTGTCAAGGATTCCCATGGCAACATCATCAAATATATTGGGTCTGTACTTTTTTCTTTCACTGTCAGATGTTCAAAATAAATTTTCCTTCTTGTTATTGACTACAACCAAAAAAAGGCGACCCGTTTTCAAACTGAAATAAGTACCTCACCTCACTTACGAAGTAGTTAGAGATGGACGGAGAACTATGAGAGTTTTCTTTTCTTTCATTTTCTAATAGCGGTCCCTTATTTGGTCTTCGAACTAGTCATTAATGGTCGGCTTCATTGGTATCTTTTCGGTATGCGTTCCGAACACTTTCATTTTTAGCGTCTCATCTTCTCTAGATAAGGGAAACTCGAACATCTCGAGCGGATGGTCTAACTAAATAACTTTTTCTTTTTCATTACTTCCATGGTCATGCCTCGTGGCACAACAACACCGGTACTATTGAAATGGTTTGTCAGTAGAGATGCTCCCACAAGTGCACTAGATTGGTTGTTTTAATCTGAGCTGTTTCACCAACTACGCTTTTCAATAAATTTATTGATTTGTTTTTCTGCTATTTTGGGTTTCAATGTTACTACTAAGCAAGTCGATACACTGATTGACATTCCTGTGGCGTTTCTCAGAATGCAGGTTGAAATTGGCAAAAACACAGAAGGTACGAAGAAGTAAATCATGCTGAAATAAAACAATACTCGATGGTTCGCTCGTTTCCTCTGATTTGGAACGGAAGCGTTTGCCTGCTTAACTTCTCTCATCTTTGATTTTCTAGAAAAAGAGAAGTCCACGAGGTCCATGTCCATGACAGAGGTCCAAGCTGAGAAGGTAATTAGGTCCATTGAGGTCGAGGCTGCGAAAAGTCTAAGATCTTACGTTCAGTCAAAAAGACATGATGCAGATAGAAAGCACGAAGAGCCAGAAACGACTGGCAAGAATACTAGCACAGCTGATAACCAAAAGGCTCGGTTAGATCTAAAAAACGCTCCATCCTACTTCAATTCATACGAGGAAATAATAGAATCAGGATTATCAGGTCTTAGTTCCTCAATGAGGTTCGTTTTCCGTCTACAAATTAGTTAAGTGAATGAGGGAAGGACGATGCCAACCGTCAAATAAAAATTTCAGTATATGTATATACATATATATTCATGTCTATTAACCAATGGCCTGATATTCTACTCAAGGCTGACTCTTTTGGTACTCTTTCACCCTTTTTGTTTGTAAGAATCACATTTCAAGACCCTTGTTCTTATGCAGGTTCAAAGAAAGGACTCTAGGCTCTGCAGTCGAACGTGAAGAACAGAAAGTTGTTGAGACATCTGTTTTCAAGCTTGGGGACGGTGATCGTATCGCTACAAGAGAAAGGGACATACGTCAAGGAATTCAGTTGGCTACCACATTGGAACGAATTGAGAAGAAATTTTTTATCACGAACCCAAGACTTCCTGATAATCCTATTGTGAGTCGAGAGTCTTTTCAGTTTTCTATTGCCCTATATGAAACTTGTTTTGGTTGAAATCTTAAAAATGGTTGTTTTTGACATTTTTTCTTGCAGATATTTGCATCTCAAAGGTTTCTTCATTCCACAGAATACACGTGTGAAGAAGTTCTAGGGAGAAACTTTTGGTAGAGTTTCACTATGTTCTTTCTTCTGTTTTAACACTTAAAGTTGTTTTTATCTTTTTCAGCATCCTTAATGTTATTCTCTCATGTTGTCCCTTTTTCTTCTGTTTTAACATCGTCTCGTGTCCACCCTCCTTCGGGGCAAAGCCTCCTCGCTGGCACATCTCCCAGTGTCTGACTCTGATACTATTTGTAACAGCCCAAGCCTGTCACTAACAAATATTGTCCTCTTCGGGCTTTCCCTTCCGGGCTTCCCCTCAAGGTTTTAAAACGCGCGGCTAGGAAGAGGTCTTCACACCCTTATAAAAAATATTTCGTTCTCCTCCCCAACCGATGTGGAATCTCATAATGATTTTCTCTGAATATGTAGTGATACTCGTAGATTCTTGACTTAAACCAACCAATTATTTTTTCAATGGCTTTTGAAATTAATATGTTCTGGTCTTCTTTCCAATGCCTTGATACCACCATCTATCAAGATCAATGAGTGGTTCATAGAGCAACATTCACACTCACATGGTCCATCCCTCCTTTCTCTAAAAGGTTGGCCCCTCATCCTTGATTTTCCCATTTTCAATATCCCTTTCAATATCCCATGGTTCTTTGGAGTAAGAATAGAGTGATTCCCTTGCAATTTTTTTATAATGAATCAATTTTTTATATGTAACAGCCCAAGTCCACCGCTAACATATATTGTCCGCTTTGATTCGTTACGTATCATCGTCAACCTTACGATTTTAAAACCGTCTGTTAGGGAGAGGTTTCCACACCCTTATAAAGAATGCTTTGTTCCACTCTCCAACCAATGTGGGATCTCACAATCCACCCCCTTGGGGGTCCAGCGTCCTCGCTGACACATCGCCCCGTGTCTAGCTCTGATACCATTTGTATCCTTATAAGGAATGCTTCGTTCCCTTTTCAATCGATGTGAGATCTCACAATCCACCCCCCTTGGGGACCCAACATCTTTGCTGGCACATCGCCCAGTGTCTAGCTCTGATACCATTTGTAACAGCCCAAACCCACTGCTAACAGATATTGTTTGTTTTGGTTTGTTACGTATTGTAGTCAGCCTCACGGTCTTAAAACGCGTCTGTTAGGGAGAGGTTTCCACACTCTTTATAAGAATGCTTCGTTCCACTCTCCAACCAATGTGAGATCTCACAATTAGCTCCCTTGTTTTCCCTTGTTTTCACTTGATGTAAACCACTAATTTTACTACATCAGTAATCAACCAATTTCTCGTTTCCAGCATCAGTATTAAACTTCTATAAGAAAAACAATTAGATTTATAATAAGTATTTACAACCACTTCAATTTGTTTCATTCCACAGGTTTCTTCAGGGACTTGAAACAGATCAAGTAACTGTTTCAAAGATAAACGATGCCATTGAAGAGCAAAGAGAAATCACTCTTCAGATGATCAACTATACAAAGAGTGGTAAATAAAATGGTTTTGTTTTTTCATCTTAAGTAGTACTTTTGAGTCTTACAACTTGGAAGAACCTCAATTTATTGTACTTTTTTTACTGTGTTGATGCCAATTTTGATCTCATGATTCATAGGAAAAAAGTTTTTGAATTTGTTCCACTTACAACCCGTGTATGATCAAAAGAAGGTATGATCTGATTCTTCTTCTAATAATCAATTAGAATTCGTACTTTGGATCCATTTCAAGTTTCATATGGTCGGATCTTCTCTTCACTCTCCCTATATTAACAGGGCGAGCTTCAATATTTCATTGGCGTGCTACTTCATCTAAAACGTTCGAAAGACTGGCTTTTAGATCAGATGAAGCATGAACGAACTAAGCTGGTGATTATTGCTCTTTATTTTCCCCCATTCTTATTATGAATCTTTACTTTATATCTCATTTTATTAAGGTGCTTTATCAATTATACATTTTTTCCTAGGTCAAAGATATAGCAGAAAGTGTTGACCGGGCTGTTCGAGAACTTCCCGATGCCAACTTGGTAGGGGTTTTCAGTTATTTTTCCGTTATTGGATTTTTTGATGTCTTTTTGGTGTCCGTTTTGATCGACTTCCTTTTTTTTCTTTTGACTTATGGTTTGGTCCTCGGAAGTATACACTATTCTATGACTTCCTCGACTTATGGGAAGATGTAGTGAAACGTTTTAGATATGCCGATATTTCCCTTTAGAAGTTCGGTTCTCTGGCAACAGCTTATGCAAGTTTCCATTTTATGAATAATATCAGAAACCAAGTAATTTCTGGGCAATCTACTGTCAGCCAGTCTTACCAAGGCCTCACAAGAAGTACAGTCCTTCCTGGATAGCCATACAAAAGGTACATGTAACGTTCTTCGTGTTCATAATGCAAGATGATATCAATGTTAGAACACTGCCATCAGTCTGTACATTTGCCTTCAAAGAATTCGCCCGAAAAAAAAAGAAAGTATTATTTCAAAACACTTTCGACTGTTTTTTCGGATTTTGAATTTCGACGAATAGATGTTTTGCATGCTTTCTTTTACCGCTTACCATTAGATGACATACAAGACGAGATGAGATGAGTTAAAAATTACTTAGTTATTTCTTTCAATGTCTACATTGTTTCATAGATTACCAGTCATGGTGAAAAGATAGGACTCCATCATTTTAAGCCAATAAAACCTCTGGGTTTTGGAGACATTGGAAGGTAAATTCATCATTTAAGCTTGAATATTTTTAATCTTGTCAGTGTTTTAAGAGCTAATTTACCTAGATATAGTCACTGAGATCGTTTCGTTTCGGTTTGAATAACTAATACAAGAAGTGCTCAAACTACCACATTCACATGAAGTTGAGCTATTGGGTTAGGATAAATTTGGTCACTTGGATATTATTTTGATTAACGACTCTCAAAACGCGCATGTTTAATATTTAATATCGAAATGTGGTTAGATGATATCACAGAGGTTGCTACTAATATGAAAAGCAGCTAGATTAGCACAAACACAATCATTTTATACGTTCTAAAGCTTCTCTCACTAAAAACACGTGCACAACTTCTTTCTCTCTGAGTAGATTGGTGGGTTGATGCTTCGAAGCATTTTTGTGAGACCCCACATCGGTTGGAGAGAGGAATGAAACATTCCTTATAAGGGTGTGGAAACCTCTCTCTAGTAGACGCGTTTTAAAATCTTGAAGGGAAGCCCGGAGGGAAAATGCGGTGGACTTGAACTATTACAGATAAAATCTGAGGGTAAATTTGAAGCTCCTAAACTTGTACGTCTTGTTGATCTAATCAAAAGTAATGGTTGTTGCAGTGTTCATTTGGTAGAACTGAATGGAACAGGTGAACTCTTTGCAATGAAGGTTATAGAGAAGTCAGTAATATTAAATCGTAACAAGGTAAAAATAATTTACCGTCTGATTCTTAATTTTTCATATTTCCCCCATGTTCGAAGTAATATATTGCAGTTCAGAGCAGGATTTAATAGTACTTTTGAATGTTCTTTTTTAAAACAATGAAAAGCTAATGTGTAAAGGGATTCAGTAATTTTATGTTCTTTGTTTGGGGTAAAAAAATATGCATTTCCTTGTTTGTTGAAGAACAGGTTCACCGAGCATGCATGGAAAGGGAAATCATATCACTTTTGGATCATCCTTTCATGCCAACACTATACTCTTCATTTCAGGTATTCAAAAGTTGGTAAACTTTTTAATTTTGAGCCATTTGATCGTCCCATAGGAAAGCCATTGTGGAGAGTTGTGATTTCTAACATGGTATTAGAGTCATGCCCTTAACTTAGTCATGTCAATAGAATCCTCAAATGTTGAACAAAGAAGTTGTGAGCCTCGAAGGTGTAGTCAAAAGTGATTCAAGTGTCAAACAAAGGGTGTACTTTGTTCGAAGACTCTAGAGAAGGAGTCGAGCCTCGATTAAGGGGAGGCTGTTCGAGGGCTTCATAGGTCTCGGGGGAGGCTCTATAGTGTACTTTGTTTGAGGGGAGGATTGTTGGGAGAGAGTTCCACATTGGTTGATATGGGGAATGATCATGGGTTTATAAGTGAGGAACACATCTCCATTGATACGAGGCCTTTTGGGGAAGCCCAAAGCAAAGTCACGAGAACTTAAGCTCAAAGTAGACAATATTATACAATTGTGGAGAGTCGTGATTCCTAACACCCATATCTGCACAAGTACCTGTTTATTATACTAACACCGTTGTCTCGATGACTTGTCAGACACGTACACACATTTTTCTGATAATGGACTTCTGCCCGGGCGGAGAGTTATTTACGTTTCTTGACAATCAGCCAATGAAAATGTTTAAAGAGGAAGCTGCTGGGTACGTTGAGCTAATACTTTTTATATTCTGCACTTATGAACTTGTTCTTGTGGTGATATTGGGGATGTGATGGGAGCCTAAAATGATCTCTTCTTTCGTTTCTCGTGTGCTCGAGTGTGTTTTTTCCCTTGACCTACAGAAGTACTGAATAATATCTATATTGCCGAGCTAGAGAACATGAACAATGGTGGATTAATCATCCAGAACTGAAGAAGCACCATCAAAGTCATGTTCCAATGTTTGGTTTGGATGTTTTTTTTGTTTGGAAGAAACACCTAATCAATGTTTTTTTTTTTTTTTTTTTTTTTTAAATACTATTATCAGAAACACTGCCAACTGCGCTCTTGAGCATGACACATGTTCTAAGAAAATACGGTAGAGTTTATGTAATATCCCAAGCCCACCACTAGTAGATATTGTCCGCTTTAGCCCGTTACGTATCGCTATTAGCCTCACGGTCATAAAACGTTTTCTAGGGAGAGGTTTCCACACCCTTATAAGGAATGTTTCGTTCCCTTCTCCAACCGATATGGGATCTCACAATCTACCCCCTGGGGACCCAACGTCCTCGTTGGCACACCACCCGGTGCTTGGCTCTGATACCATTTGTAACAGCCCAAGCCCACTGCTAGCAGACGTTGTCCACTTTAGCCTGTTACATATTGCCGTCAACCTCATGGTTTTAAAACGCGTTTGCTAGGAAAAGGTTTCCACACCCAACCAATGTAGGATCTCACAATCCACTCCCCTTGGGGACTCAATGCCCTCGTTGGGCATCTGGCTCTGATACCATTTGTAACAACCCAAGCCCACCGCTAACAGATATTGTCCGCTTTACCCCATTAAGTATCACTGTCAATCTCATGGTTTTAAAACACCGTCTGCTAGGGAAAAGTTTCCACACCCTTATAAGAAATGTTTCGTTCCCCTCTCCAACGAATGTGGAATCTCACAGTTTAGGCTTTTTTGAGTGACAGAGGATATCGATCACATTCTATCCAAAAGAATTTTTAGAGGGTTTGAGAGTCGCCAATGTGAGCTTTGGTCTTGCACTCGGTTTAGCGTGTCTCTAAGGGGCGCGTCTATAACTAAGTTTTTATTGTCATTATTCATTAGGTCTTATTCGGACCCTTTTTTCTTTTGTGTACGTTGCCTCAGTTTTGTAGGCTCTCTTTTTGTTCGTCCTTTTTCTTTCGTTTTTTCTCAATAAACGTTCGGTTATTCATTGTTCTTGTTCCCATGATGCGAGATATTCACACTTATTACAATGCACCATGAAGTAAAGGGACTTGAATGCTTGCTTGTTTTTGTATAATAACACCTACACTCTGGCCTTTCAGCATTTAGTGACAAACATCACTATTTTTCAGGTTCTATGCTGCAGAAGTTGTCATTGCTTTAGAGTACCTTCACTGTTTAGGTAATTGTTGCTGCTTCTCTTATTTCTGAAGTAGTAAAAAAATTTTACATTTACCTTCACTGTTTAGGTAATAAAAGTCGTTTGATAAGTAGGTTTGTCTTCTAATACCAAATGTCTAAGACTATATATAAGTTTATCGAGCAATAGTATTACAGCCGACACATGTATGTTTTTTGCAAAATACGAGTCCTTCACCTCCCGCCCGGCTTGGAACTATTAAAATATGGGTTAGATTACAAGCTTGGTCCCTAAACTTTGAGGTACATATTGATTTGGTTCCTAAACCTTCAAAAGTGTAATAGCCCAAATCCACCACTAACAGATATTGTTTGCTTTGGCCTATTACTTGTCGTCGTTAGCCTCATAGTTTTAAAACTTGTCTATTAGGGAGAGGTTTTCACACCTTTATGAGGGATACTTCATTCCCCGCTCCAACTGATATGGGACCTCACAATCCACCCCCTTGGGAGATCAGCATCCTCGCTGATACACTGCCTGGTGTCTAACTCTGATACCATTTGTAACAACGTGAGCTCACCACTAGCAAATATAGTCCGCTTTGACCCATTACGTATCATTGTCAACCTTTTACGATTTTAAAATGCGTATGTTAGGGAGAGGTTTCCACACCTTGATAAGGGATATTTCTTTCCCCCCTTCAACCGACGTGGGACCTCACAAAAAGTACGTAATAGGTCCATCAACTTTCAATTTTGTCAAATAGTAAGTCCATGATAAATTCAATTTTTTAATAAGTTAATTAATCTAAATTGGAAGTTTATGTCTAATAGAACCTTAACTTTTCAATTGTGTGTCTGGTAGACCCAATTGGAAGTATACTATATTCTGCTCTGTTTCAAGCGTTGGTCACGTTATGACCCACATATCATCATATCCGTGATCATTTTTCCAATCCCCCGTGCAGGTATTGTCTACAGGGACCTAAAACCCGAAAACATTCTACTCCAAAAAGACGGACATATCGTCCTCACTGATTTCGATTTATCATTTAAGACATCGAACATACAAGTACATAACTATTTACTCGTTGAGACATGTTTACATCTCCTTTCCGTTCTTTTAAGAGATTTGACACGAGAACTTTATGCTCTTCTTGCAGACCACAAAATCTCCACCCCGGAAAAGGATTAAGGGATCTTGGCATAGATTGGTGCCGACATTCGTTGCTGAACCGATTGTAGAACTGAATTCATTCGTAGGAACTGAAGAGTACATTGCTCCTGTATGATCTATGTTAATCTCCATAGACAACTTTAGCCATTCCAAGAATGTTAATAATAGTTCATATCGTTTGTTTGTTGTAGGAGATCATTATGGGAGCTGGCCATAATAGTTCTATTGACTGGTGGACTCTTGGTAAGAACGCTATTTTCTTTGAGGCTTTTTCTTTTCCTTCTTTGATGGTTTGATGCATGGAATTCAGGTATTTTGCTGTATGAAATGCTCTATGGTCGCACACCCTTCAAAGGCAAGAACAGGAAGAAAACCTTCTCCAATATTTTGTTCAAGGACTTAACCTTTCCCCTTAGTATTAAGGTAAGTGGCTGTGAATTTTCTTCCTTTTCTGTGTTAAGGCTTCAATTTTGTTCGAGTTCTTGGTGTTCATAGTCAATGTTGCAGGTGAGTCTTGCAGGAAAGCAGCTGATTGATGCACTACTACAGAGAGACCCTGCACGTCGTCTAGGATCAAGTACCGGTTCCGATGAAATCAAACGACATCCATTTTTCCGTCATATAAATTGGCCTAAAATACGAACAATGGTAATACTATTCCCTTTTGAACATCCACAGAAGGCTCAAGCAAGAAAGCACCTGAAAAGAAAATCTTCAAGATAAACAGCATTTGTTTCTCTTTGAATGCAGACTCCACCATCAACAGAAGTAGCCCTTCAACTATTTGAGAGAGATCCGAAGGCTAATGATTTGAAGTGGGAAGATGGAGTGCTCAGTCATTCAATAGGCTCTGATATTTTCTGAAGGATCTCAATCTCAGCAGAAAAAATTAGCTTTGTTTATATGAGTACCATTCAACAATAAATCCATTGATAACATGATTAGTAGCCTCAAAGAAATCTCAAGGGGTGCCTTTATAATAAGAACTTGAGATGTTTCGAGATACTCCCTCATTCTAAAAACTCCATTCGTTTGATAATCGTTTGATTTTTTTCTTTCTAAAAATCAAGTTTATAAACATTATTGCTACGATGGGTAAAAGAATCAAGCCAAATTTGAAAATGTAAGGTCCTAAAAACAAACTCAACCTTTTTTAACCTTGATTTCATCGACCTTAAATAAAACTTGGTTATCAAACAAGACTTAAATAACTCAAAATCCCAGGTTGTTTGGGGTTGGCCAAACCCTCCAGAGAATTGGTGAGTTAGACGAGCATAATACAAGGTCGAAGTTCGATCCTCGACACCTCATTTCAAATAACATAAATAAAATTAGACAAGGAGGAAAACTAAAAGAGTGTTCAAATCTTGGGCTAACCGAATAAAAAAAGATATTGGAACTGAAGGATGGCAAGGTGCAGGCCGTGGTTAGGCAAGGATAGATGTAACATACAAGGAAAATGTGAAAGAAAGCAGGATGAACAATCATTTCTAAAGCATAGCTGCCGAAGGCTTCTGGTAAGAAACAGAGAACGAACACTTCTAGCATAGCAAGCAATAACGTTTGTATTTGTGATCAACAATAGAACAATCCAGCAGACATTTAACCAGGCAGGTGAAATCACTAGAACACCAACAATTTGTGTAATTCTACAAATGAAAATAAGCAAAAACAAGGCATTCACTTGTATGATACAAGTCCAGATAACATATAATTACAATGTTTCAGAACAACTCAATTCACCAAAAAACTGAAACATACACTGAAGTGTTCCTACTTGGTGGCCTGCGCAATTATGTTACTTATTGAACTAGCTTGCTCCTTTGCTGTCTCCACCAACGAATCCTACAATGGAATATCAATTACCTTATCATCAGCTGAATTGAAATCATAACTAAGGTACTGCAAAGATAAAGAAGAGTACCTGTGCGGCTATCAATCTTGCTACTGTTTTCTTGCTTGATTCTTGGAGTTCGCCAGCTATTAGAAGCTCATCCAGTATATAATAGGCCTTCAATGTTTAAATAAACAACACATTCAAAATTTCATATAAAGGACATAAACGTCTACTCAAGAGAAGTTAACTGGTGTGAAGCTGAGTGTATGTAATTCAGATGCATCGGATACACAAAGTACCAATGTCTGGCAGGCCAGAGGCAATGGATTGCTAATTAAAGAAAGGTGCAGCTTTTATATATGCAAGTAAATAATACCTTGTGAAAGTTGAAGATCAAATCCAACTCACAGACCTACAAACATAAATGAAAGACCATAATAATGAAGAAACTAAATGTCAGTTAAAGAGATGGTGCAAAAAGAATATTCTTGAACAACTTACGAACTAAAATTTAATTCACTTACACTGCCAAAGTAACGGTCCAAAATCTCAACGAAATGATGAATACATTCAAGGACCTCTAATTCATTGTCATCCTGATCAATGCACATGCAAAAGTAAAGACTAGCATATCTGCATTAGACGAGCAGTAAAATTATTAATTATCTTAGACCGGGCAACATGGACAAATTAAAGATTTGGATTGCAGAACACATCAATACACCATGACGTACCTTTTATATACAGCTTTGAGTCCCCTCCATTCCACAAAGTTACAGAGCTTAGGCCCCCGATTTAGAATCATTCCACTAAGCTCACGGATAACCTTTTTAAAGAACATGAGCAGACACAAGCACATGTCATAATGTGGTAAGACCAATAGATCCTAGGGGAACTAAGACTTATTAAAGCAAATAAACTTGTGGGCGTGTGGAAAGCAAACAAGAAATTGCAAATATTATCATTGCTGGAAATTAAAAGAACCTGTTAGCATTAAATTACAGAATGAGGCAAATAGCTGACTTACCTTGGATCTCTCCTTCTGAGTATAAGGAGAATACCATTTCGTCAACCTCACTTTTCCTTGTCTGCTTATAAGAAGCACAAAGTGAATCTGGAAATTTACACCAACAACATCAGTTAGAACACCATGTAAGATATAAGATCAAGCCGTCTTTTCTTGTGTGGGGAAACGAAGATTTGAAGATATAAACACTAAACTTAAGTCGCTCCAAGGAAGAGAGAATTATTTTATGAGAAAAAACCACGCTTTCATTGAGGAAAAAAAAAAAAATGAAACACTACAAAAGGAAAAGCTAAAGCTAACGAGCATACAAGAAACACCCCAGACCAAAGATGCCAAACAACTATCTCAACAAAAAGGGGCTCCAATCCACAATAATAATTTTTGGATAATTTACAAAAGTCGTTGGGAAGAGGCAAGAAAAAGATTCAGGAACTCATGGCTTAAACAAACTCACAAGCTCGAGAACAAAAGAAATGAAACAAGAATCACCACTCCACCACTCTGGAGAAGTGCGGATTCTACTGCTAGCTCAATAGAGAAGAAACAGCTCCGCCTAAGGGAGGCACAACCAAATGAGGGAGTTAGGACGGACCACGATTACAATCCCAAACCACCTAGCAAGACTAAATCCAAACCCCAAGATTACAGAACTATTCCTGAAATTCCAGATGCTATACAGCCACAAACGAACGAGCACGACGAATCCAAGAACAAACCGAAACGAAAATTGGGCAATCGGATGTCGGCTAAGCAAAGATCTGAATCTTAACAACACCAAAAGCACTCAAAATCGATCCTAAGAGCGAAAAAAAAATTCAGAAAAAGAGGAAACAATTAAACCATCCCACAAAGAAAGAGCAAAGCAGATCCACGATGAGAAAGACTATAATGCATTGAACAACGCAATTTCAACCTTGAAATAATCAAAATCTAGAAATGAATCAAAGCAATATAATCACATACCATTTTGCTCTGAACTTTCAGGAACCAAAGATCTCGATTCCAAAATTCGATCTCTCCGATCAGAGTACAGTTTCTCCTCCGTCGTTCTGCTGTAAATATATTTTGTTCAGAATTCATAACCCGCCAAAGACTTCGGGCTCGAAACTGGGTCGGGTTCATTTGGGTCCATTTAGTAAGATTGGGTCTAGTATTGGGCCTTTGAGCTTTTTCCAAGCCCAATTTCAAGCCTTTTCCAGATCCAATTAGTCGTTTTTCCCGGGAAATTGTTGACGATTAAAATTTTCTAGTCGTTGACTTTTATTTCTAAAAACGTTGACCTTCTTCTCAACGTACGTGAGCGTGTGGGATTAAATTATTAAGGGGGAAAAGTAAAGTATTTTCCAAACCGGCCATTAACATCCCTCAAGACTTTAATTAATTAATTAATTAATTATTAAATTAAATTCAAATAAAGATTTGAGATTTCGTTGAAACGATATTTTTTGATCGACGGAACTATAATTATATTAAAGTTATAATATATTTTATGATTCATTTTTTATTTTATATTTATTTAATAATGATTTACTTTTGATCGAGCTTCGTTTATTAATAATTATTCAACAGATGTTCTCAATTATATTTCTAAAGTATAAAATAGTCAACTCATAAAATAAATTATCAAGAATATAAAAAAAAAAAAAAAAAATCAAACATGTTAAGATTGGGACTAAATTTTTGTTCTAAAAAACATCTTTAAAAAATTAATCCTTAATTAATTTTTTTATAAGGTTCCTTTTATAAAAATTAAAGTCTAAACAAATTTAAAAAAGGAAACAATTTGAAACTCCATTTTAACTATATATATATATATAACCAAATAAAAAAAATAAATACCATGTTTATCAAAACAACTAATTTGAAACTCTATTTTATAAGGTTCCTTCGATCTCATGATGATGTGAGTGAAAGAATGCAAGATAACTGGTTAGTTCAACTATTGCATAATCAGAGAACAAATCATCGAACCCCTAATATGTAACTAATGCATTTGTTTAGAGAGTTATGCTCCGATTGACACGAGAATTTGTGCACTCCTATTAGAGATGGTAATTCAATGGCACAAAGAGACCTAACCGCTACCCGAAACAATGGACCAAGGGAAATTATTTCCAAAGGATTTACAATGCTGGGAAGAGGAAGGATCTGCAGAGAGGGCAGGTAAAGTGATCTCTGTGTAGCCAATTCTCAATACATTCTACATGGAAAAGATGGCTACATCTGTGCAGTCGGCTCACCATATCGTCTCCGGTGAACTCGGCCAAGCAAACCGAGCAAATCTCCTCCTCCATTCCTCTCCTACGCTGCAGCTCTTTAAACCTACAAATCGGAAGTTTTACCTCCCACGGTGCCAACTCTGTCGTGAGCGGCCGACTCATCCTGCCCGACAGAAGGCCGATCATGCTTTCGATCGCCATCTTCAGTTGACACAGAGGGATCCACACACAAGTGTAGAAGACAATGGTGGCCATGCACATTGAACCACGACCTAACGCTAAGCTTATCATTCTATAGCCAAAAACTTAGCACCAGCAGCAGCTTCTTCCTTTGCTTCTCTTTGCTGCTAGTTGCTCTGACAATGGAAGAACCAGAGGCATTTATATAGTAGTAACTTGGCTTCCCATGATCAGGTGGGTTGACTTCAGGCCTTGACTTTTGGAGGAATATAACAAATCAAGGATGTTTGACTCAAAATATATTAATGATTATAAAATTTGGGTTTGGGAAGCTTTAACTCTATATTGTAAAGACCGACCAATCTTGTTGTGCCCGACAACCAAATTCTATGCTAACAAATCCACCTTCTTGTGTAAAGAAATGAGTCTTGTGAAGTCGGTCTGGAATGATATAAACAGTCTATTTTATGAGCTTGAATTCATACTGGACGTGAACTTCCGACTTCAGAATTTTCCCAAATTAGATAATAGTCAACTAGATACATATGATTGGTCGAAAAGTCAAAGGTTCAAGTGTTTACTTTCGTCCACTAGAGCATAGTTCAGCTGATTTAGATACATATGATCAACTAAGAAGTCAAAGATCTGAGTTTCTACTCTCACCCACTAGAGCATAGCTCAACAGGTTTAGTTATGTATGATCGGCCGAAAAGTCAAAGGTTCGAATTTTTTCTCTTGTCAACTAGAGCATAGTTCAGCTGATTTAGATACATATGATCGACCAAGAAGTCAAAGATCTGAATTTCTACTCTCACTTACTAGAGCATAGTTCAATAGGTTTAGATACGTATGATTGGCCAAAAAGTCAAGAGTTCGAATTTTTACTCTTGCCAAATAGAGCATAGTTCAACTGATTTAGACACATGATCGACCAAGAAGTCAAAGATTTGAATTTCTACTCTCACCCACTAGACAAAAGTTCAACAGGTTCAAATACATGGGATCGATCAAGAAGCCAAATGTTCGAATCTTTACTCTCCCCAACTAGAGCATAGTTTAACTGTTAGATACACATGATCAACCAAGAAGTCAAAGATTTGAATTTCTACTCTCACCCACTAGAGTAGAGCTCAATAGGTTTAGATACGTAGGATCGACCCAGAAGTCAAAAATTCAAATTTCTACTTTCACCTGACAAGAGCATAGGTGTTATAGTTTAGACACGTACTATCGACCAATGTTCAAATTTCTAATCTCACCCAGAAGTCAACCAAACAAATAAAACTCGGAATTCTTGAGGGGAAGATCTCCTAAATTCCATCGAGTTTCTGTGCTAATATTTTAGTGTGTTAGAACAATGATTCCAGCTGGAAAGAGAGGGCCGGCGCCGACCCAACATTGCACTCAATACTTCAAAAGTCAGTCAATGCCTCAAGTATCTAAATATGCACATGATAACAATATCTTCCATTCATATCTTAATACCATTTTTCTTTTCCATTTTCACTTATAATAACAATAAGAAAACAAGAGCAGCCACCTCCCTTCCCAGGTTTTGACTAAACTTACACTTAAAGATAGAATAATGCCGACCAAATCATTTATGCTCCTGGAAAGAAAATACATAATATATCTGATGAGTTGTACTTAGCTTTAAAATAAATGGCTACCTGGCAACGTGGCCTTTCCTTTCTCATTCTCCTCTCCAAAGCCAGGTGGTGTATCTGATCCATATTCTTCACTCTTCTCACCTAAATTAAAATAATATAACAGGGAGCAGTACAGCCATGAACATGAACATAACTCACAACAGATACTCAGCTAATCTCGATTAATGACTTGTGTCTATTTAGTTCCTGAACTTTCAAAAATCTCTAATATGTCACAAAATTTTAAAAGGCACCTAATAATTTTTTAAACTTATGTCCATTGAATTTCTAAACTTTAAAAAGTGTCCAATAGATCCTTAAATTTTCAATTTTGAATACCACATGCCCCTAAATTTTTTAGCCTTGTATCTACTAAACATAAAATTGAAATTTTAGCATTTCATTAGACAAAATTCAATTTCATATATATAAATCTACTATCAAGAACCTATTAGATACAAAATCGAAAATTTAAAACTCTATTAGACACAAAATTGAAAGTTCGGAGACCTATTAGACATTTTTGAAAGTTTAGGAACCAAATAGACACAATCCTCAAAGTTGACAAACTAGATCAATAATTTAACCTAAAAATCCATCTCTATGTAGCCATTAATGGTAGAAAGCAAGGAAATATTCATAACTTACATAAATGTTTGTAAAAAAAAATTCTAAGAGGTAAATGGTGAACTTAACACATTTTCTGATGTTCACAATCTATCAAAAAATATCCATGTCATTAACCGTAGCCAATATCTGCCATGCCGTTGGATCCACACAATATTTAACCAAAGGTTAATGAACTAGACTGCACAAAGTATTGAGTTCTCCAAACTTGAACTACTCTTAGAGCTCACTTCAATAGTTGCAGATTGTTCACTCTTGAACCAGTTTTAATCTGGATACTGAGTTTCATTAATTTCAACTTGCGGTTTCTTCTCAGTAACATGATTGGTATCTTCACCTACATGATCATACAGATAAGCATTAACACTTGGAGAGCTGCATATCCTTAGCCATAACTAACAGAAAATAAATCATGCGGCCTTTTTAAATGAAAACTCCTAACTGATCCATCATAAAAATTATGACCAAGTATTCTGGAACATCATATTGTGTACGAACTTTCACTCATAAATTCTAAAATGAAATGACATACTAATCTCAAGTTGAGTTCCATCTGCTCGTGAACAAACTCTTTCTCTCCCATAAGCTGCAACTTTAGTTCGCAATATTTAAGAACTGTAAAATTGAGTAGTGCTCCCTAATTGAGCATCCAAGTCAAAATCTACACAAACAGTTATTCTTCTAGACTGAAATGTGACTAACGTTGTCGAGACGAATGCACACATAACTCTTAGTTTGACATATGCTACTGCAGACAAGACATTTTGAGCATCATTTAAAGGCAATTTGAACCTTTTCAATTAGGAGAACTCAAAGTGATTTGATACATGTAAGTTCTTTTCCCCTTGTAGATGGTGTTGATAAGAAAATGCAGATGAAGAAGAAGAAGAGAAAGAGGGAGGGAGGGGGGAACAGCAACTCTTAAGTAAGATTCACAGCTTAGTTCTTGTATGCTTATGCTTATGCGAGTGATTTTGGAAGCTGTTAACGGATGTGCATATCTTATTGTCCTTGGTCATGGGTTGGGCTAGCTTTACGTTGAATGATTCTAAAACTTATAAACTTGAGCAGTAAGCTTGAGGTGGACCAGAGGAAATCAAAATTAGCTAAGAAAAACGATCTTTCTTAGTGAAGATAAGGATCGGGGGGAAGGTCTTTGGGCTTTGATGACAAAAGGTCTTTTGTAACTATTCAATGGAAAATATTTTACACAACAAGAGGCGCTTTCTTTAGAGCCACTCCCTTTTGTGGGCTTTGTTTTCTGGATTTCCATGCTTCATTTTCTGAATGAAAGGTTGTTTGTCTCATTAATACATACATGAACCACCACTTCTATAAATCATAGCCATCCTAGACTACTAATGAAAATAAAAATTTAATAAAATCTAATTAAACAAAGGTAACTTACAGGATATTCTCCTTTTTTTCCTTTTTCTTGTTTTGTATCTTATCATTTTGGTACCCAACAATTCGTATAAGCTTATAGATGCTATCAAAAGATTGAAGACAATGTCAATTGCAAACGTGTTGGTCATCTACTCAAATTACTCCATATAACATATAGTAAACATATCTTGAATTGGCGAAGGAATTGCATAAAAGGGAAAAGAAAGAAGACTTACAACTTGTTAACCACGACAAGAATCTCAGAAAAATTCCTTCGTTTTCTTCCCGAAGATTAGTTCCCAGATATGAGGTGAAAATGGGGCTCTTTTATTCAAGAATTCTCTTAAAGCTTTCTCATTAATCAAGAATCCCTTTTGTTTTAAGGTTTCTATGACAGTATGAGCTTCGTCCACCCCCTTTTCTTTGCATAACTCATCAATTAGGCCGACAAAAGTGGTTAGATTTGGAGAATGCCCAGATTCTAACATCTCAATGCAAAATGATACGGCATCCTCTAATTTTTTGCATTTGTACAGTCCCTGTATCAAGACGCCGTAACTGAATGCATTGGGAGAAATGCCATTATTCTGCATTTTCCTGAAAATCCTAATTGCTTCATCAAGATTCTCGGCCTTGCAAAACCCATCAACAACAGCAGTGTAAACCACAACTTCTGGAATTGTACCCTTCTCACGAATCAAACCAAATAGTTTCATTGCTTCTTGGATAAGCCCATCTTTGCAAAGCCCATCAAGCATAGCAACAGCGTTGGGAATTAGACCAGTTTCCTTCATTTTCCTGAATATCTCATCCGCCTCTGGAGGACACTGTGGTTGCGATTGCTTCCCCTGCATTGATTCAGAAAACTGAGCAGAAGAGCTCGGCTCGGTTTTCTCTGTACTAGTACTCAGATTGTCGGTGTTCAGCTTGAATTTTTCAAGAAAGCTAAAATCCTTCTGAGACAAAGACTCACTCCTTCGCCGCGACATCGGCCCTTCGTTTGCGAATCGGGACTCGGAACCTTCCCAATGCCTATTAAACCGTTGATTCCGATTATCCTCAGGATAAGGAGCAGATACTTCCCCGGCGAATTTGGGAACTCGACGAGCTTCGCGAGGATCCGGCGGAGAACGTCGTTGCGGCGGGCTGCTTCTCGGCTCGGACCTTGAGAAGTTCCAATCGTCATCCATGGAATTGGAGCTAAAACAGCGAGATTCCACCGGCGAGAGTGATAAATCCGGCGTTCGCAATGGATCATGGAGCAGAGGAAAGCCTCTTTCCCAATTCCGAATTGTTGAAAACAAAATCTTCGAAACTCGAAGACGAGATTGTAATTGCATCTGCAACGCTCCCATGAGAATCTCGAGCGAAGAAATTATGAAGAGATTGCTAACAGTCGGCAAAGGAACGATGACGATGGAGGGAAAAATAGGTGTAGGGTTTTAGCGAGGGAACTAAGTGTATAGGTTTGGGCATTCCATTAGTTATTAAAAATAAAGCTAAATTTATAAAAATATCATTTTTAACTTTTCAAAGTTTTTTAATAATATTTTTAAATTTTCATAAAAAAAAATAAAAAATATAAAATATAATTAAATTTTAAATTATGTATACACTATTGCTAGAGCTTCTGTAACAGTCTAAATCTACAGGGAGTAGATATTGTTCTCTTTAGAATTTCTCTTCTAAGTTTCTCCTTAAAGTTTCAAAACGCCACTTGTCACAATCACATTCGCAGTGGACAACGTCACTTGTCACAATCGCATTCTTTATGGCAGTGGACTTACGATTGTGCGGCACTCACTTTCCAACGACACTCACTTTCCAACGACAAGTGAGCTAAGTCAATTCGTTCTTACGTCGTTTACGGCCAAAAGACGTATACTCGAGACTCTAGCTTCAGTTTAAGAAAAAGGGGTTAGAAAACGAGGGTAGAGAGAGATTTTCGAAAGATAAATTTTGAAAGAGACATTATATAAGCAAGCAAGAGAGTAACAACAACAACTCAAAGTATATAGCCTTTGGTAGGGAGAAGTTTCTACACACTTATAAGGAATGTTTCGTTATCCTCTCCAGCCGATGTGGGATCTCATAATCCACCTCCTTGGAAGCTCAATGTCCTCACTAGCATACTGCCTCGTGACTCACTTTGATACTTACATTGGGTAGGTATTTACGTCTTCCTTCCAAAAATGCTCGGTATAAAGCATTTTGCTTTTAAATCTATCAAGAATAGTGTCGTAGAGGTCCTTAAACAATGGTCGTGAAATAAAATTGCCAAAAAAAAAAAAAAAAATTCTAAAGCAAGGGAAAATTTTAAAGTATAAAAATGTTAATATTCTATATAATTTTATAGTATTTTTAATTTTTTTTAGAATTATTTAAAATTTTAAAAGAATTTTTTCAAAACAAATTTCTAAAGATTAAAAAAAATATATATATTCAAGGATAATTTTGAATAATTTAAATAATTGTTTAATAATAAATGAATTTTACGAATTAAAGGGTTGGGCGAAAATTCTGCATTTCGGCTCACTATCAACTTATCCATTTCGTACCAAATTAAACGAAGGTCCTTCGTCTTGCCGAGCTCAAGAATGATACTTCTTGCTCTATGTTCTTCTTGAAAGACTTAGAAATTCCTGCTTCTGTAACTTCAATTTCCTCACAATTAGAGCTTTGATCGAGCGCAGAAATCAATAAAGACTGCTTGCTTATCCATTTGATTGAAGAAGGTGAACTCGATTTTTCTTGTGTTTATCGCCATTCTGCATTGCATTTCTCTTTGTAAAACGGAGGGTTTTGTTGAATTTGGAGTTCAGTTCCTATTTCCTCTTGTAATTTTGCATTACTTGTTGGTCTGTACAGTATTTCTACCAACATTTGGTGGATTTATGAAAAATCTGTTTGTATGCTGAATCTTTCAGGGTTTTATGGAAATTAGCGGCAGTCGAAATGGTACTAGTATGCTGTGGTTCTTCAGGGACAAAGGATTTGATGATGGAAGCATCGATAAGATGTTTAAAAAGTGTAGGCGTTTGGAAGGTATGCAGAATGAAAGAGCTGCTGAAAATTGGGAATATTTGGAAGGAATTGGGATTCAAAAGAGGAAACTCCCTTCTGTTGTTTCCAAATGTCCTAAGATTCTAGTTCTTGGTCTTCAAGAGAAAATTGCTCCCATGGTTGAGTGCCTTGCAACACTCACCACTAAGCCTCGTGAAATTGCTACAGCTATTGCCAAATTTCCTGGCATTCTTTCCTACAGTGTTGAAGAGAAGCTATGCCCACTTTTGGCTTTCTTTCAAGCATTGGGTGTCCCTGAAAAGCAGCTTGGAAAGATGATTCTACTCAACCCGAGGCTTATTAGCTACAGCATTGAATCGAAGCTCATTGAAACTGTGGATTTTCTTGCTGGGGTTGGGCTAACGAAGGAGGGGATGATTGGAAAAGTTCTAGTAAAGAATCCATTTCTCATTGGATATAGTGTTCATAAAAGGCTCCGTCCTACTTTCGAGTTTCTGAAATCGATCGGTCTCAGTGAGATGGATCTTCAAGCAGTTGCATTGAAATTTCCAGACATTTTGTGTAGGGATGTGGACAAAGTTTTGAGACCCAATTTGGATTATCTGAGGAGACGTGGGTTTAAAGATGGAGAAATAGTGTCTTTGGTGACTGGTTATCCTCCTATTTTGATCAAGAGCATTCAACATTCTTTAGAACCTCGGATCAGATTTTTAGTCGAAATAATGGGAAGAACACTTGACGAAGTTGCCGAATATCCCGAGTTTTTTAAGCATGGCTTGAAGAAAAGACTCGAGTTGCGGCATAGATTGTTGAAAGAGAAGACAATGGACTTTACCTTGAGTGAATTGTTGGAATGCAATCAAAAGAAGTTTATGATGAAAATGAGTTTGTTATGAGGCTATGCTTGGAGATTTAGGAACCATATCCTGAAAGAACGTTGTTTCTCAGCATCTTTACAAGTTTTGTTGCCTAATAATTCATTTTCCAGGCTTCTAGTTAAAGTTTAGAGCCTTCGTCCTGCCGAGCAATTGTTTTTAGCCCTGGATTACCCTTCCTTCATTCACGGTTCATGCTTTAGGTTCGTTATGGTGTCCCTTGTGTTTTAACAATTCAAATGGAGTGGAGTACATACAGAGTACTCTCATGTAACTCTTTTCTTTGTGTTGTATGGGTTGAGATTTGGACCCCTGATCCTCCCTTGTAGTTTTCTTCCTTACTGTTGAGAATTTTTGTGCCAGAATTTGTACTGTTCTTCGACCAATTATTATTAACAGTTCCAATGGAATTTTGGGTTTTTGCATCTGGGGGAGCATCTCTTTGAAAATCATAAGATGTTTATTACTTGAATGCTAACCAAAGCCCTGGGATGAAAGTCACCTCTCCTGTGATTACCTTAAACCCCTACATTAGGGTGTTGAATACTTGGATTAGCCAGTAGAAATCGTCTTTTTCTGTGCAGTTTATATCGATATTTACATGTTTCTATAGTTCACACTACGCATACAAGAAATTTCTTGAATCTATGCCATGACTGTACTCCACGGCCTATGAATAATGATATGCGAATTTTCACTAGGATGCTTCATTGTTTTCCAATCCTGCCGGTCTCATCCTGAAATATATTGTCATTCCTATTGCCTAAATCTTGCATCATTATTTTGAGGTTTTCTGTTGTTGCAAGATTAAACATTATTCTCTGTTTCTTTTAAACAGACCGAACATTATTAAAACAACGGTGTAATTGTTGGGATCAGATTGAAGATGATAACAACTTAGAACTTGGACTTGAATTTTTCTATAATCTGTAATCTAGGAAGTTCTTAAACCCCCTTTGATTTATAAAGAAAACATGTCAATCTTAACTGTAAAGCAAAAATAATGGTACAACAGACAAGTGCTAGCGCGTTGTGCAGTAGCAACCGGAGGAACATCTCGGGACATTGGCGAGTATGAGCCCAGGTATACATATCCCCTTGCATATATCAGAGGGTGAATAAATGATGTTTTCTACAATTTGATGACGAGCGACATGTTTTTCAGGTAAGCTTCGAGACGGAAGGAGAGGACTAGCTATGGTGAAACTTCATGGAAGAGAGCTGTTCGTGTTTGACAGTGAAGTGAGAGTGGTATTGGTTGAAGTAGTGCTCATGGGAGGCCACATGAAGGCTGGCTTGAACATAGGTACTTGAGGTGCTGGCAAAGCTCCGTTTAAAATTTGGAGTATAGCCTGAGTTTGTGGCCTTTCGCTTGCCGTGGGATGTGTACATGCCAACCCAAGTAGTAGAAGCCTCCTAGCTTCATCAACCACAAAACCATTGCCCAGCCGGTTATCGACAGCTTTTTCGATGTGTCCTTCACGGTGTCCCTTCCACACCCAATCAATTAAAGTACACAGATTTTGCTCGTCTTCAATAGCAGCTCCTGGTCTCCTGCCACAAACGATCTCGAGCACGACTGCTCCAAAACCATATACATCGGTTTCAGGAGTAGCCTTCCCTTCATGGAAGCATTCAGGAGCAACATAACCCATTGTGCCTGCAACTCCACCACACTGCAGGTCTGCATAAGAGTTTCTTTCAGGATCCAAGGCTCTAGCAAGGCCGAAATCCCCTAGACGAGCATTGAAGTCGGAATCGAGCAAGATATTGCTTGATTTGATATCTCGGTGCAATACTTTCTGGTCATACAAATTATGCAAGTAATGCAACGCAGATGCAACTCCTACAAGAATTTTATAGCGATGTCTCCAGCTGAGAACATCCTGGTCAGCAACGTCGTATAGGTGATTCTCGACGCTTCCATTAGGCATAAAGTCGTACACTAATAAAAGCTTCCCTTTCTCATAGCACCACCCTGCACAAATATGCAATGCTTATGTAAGTACATTGGTTTGGAATCATGCACTATATATGTTCCTTTTACATGTCATTGATGCTTCATGAACGCAAATGAAAAGCTACACAAATATGTTCTCTGGCACTCTCTTACTACAATATATGTTCATGATATTTACCAGGCATGGTAGAGTTATATATTTAACTTGTTCTCTTTCCCCTTGTTTGTTTGGAAGAACAGAGAAATGGAAGCCTTACCTTCTAAACGGACGAGGTTCTTGTGGCGAAGACGGTGGATAATGGTGAGCTCATCCAGAAAATCGCCTTCGCTCTTAATGCTGTCCCTGGAGAATTTCTTGACGGCAATTTCAAGCCTGGAAACAGAATTTGAAGATGTGGTAATGTCCTTATCCTTGTCCTGCAAAATGCCTTTGTACACGACCCCAAATCCCCCATTTCCTAGAACCATGCTTTCATGGAAGTTATGAGTCGCCCTTTTTAGTTCCTTGTACTTGAACTCTCTAGGCATTCCAGGCAACCTCTTCAATGTGCCCTGAACATTTGACTCCTCATCCCTACTCACTCTCCTCTTCTTCCTATAATCAACAAA